CCCGAGTGCCCCTGGAAATCAAAGGGAAGTGAGTCTCTGCCAGGAAAGTTGCCAGAGTGTCTCTCTTGAGCATGACTCTTAAGGGGAGGAGGGTAGTCCCTGTTCCACCCGGGAGCAAACCTTTCTTCTTGGCTCCCACTGTAGAAACAAAGACAGGATTACTCATATTGTCCAGAGTTTGAAATCTACACACCAGCATATTCTTCTCTAATCACAGTATTCTTCTGTAAACATTTTTTTTTTTGGCAGAGTTCTGTAACAAGGTCCTAGAGCTGCAGAAAACAGCAATGCTTTGCTATTTAAGACGAAGTGTCCGAGTAAACTTTTATGCTCCCATTTCAGAACACGAGGAAAGTCAACACAAGGTTTTCAACATGACTGCTGCAGAAAAAGCTTTCACCCAGTCCTGCAACAGGGAAAATCCGCAACACCAGATAAGCTAGCAATGGTGACACACTACCAAAATTTTCATTTCCTACAGTCAGGGAACTTGGACTTCCAAGGTCAACATGATGATTCTTATTATATCAGGAAAATCAATGCACTGTAAATTTCGGAAGGTATTGATCTCATTTATGCATTCAAGAGTGACATTCAAAAATATGTGATCACAGCTACAGCACCCAAGCAGAATGGATGCAGAACGCGCGCAGAAACACTGGCTGTATGTCAGACACCAGAGTACACCAGCTGAGCATCACTCCTGGTTGCTTCTAAATCCCAGCTCTAGGTGGCTCTGCCCTGAACCACTCTCACCTGGGTGCCCCTGCTGTAAGTACTCAAGGGTGTAACAGAAGGCAGTATGAATGATGCCGCAAAGCATGCGTAAGTCAACTAAGTCAAGCACTGGTATCTGGGAACTTGATGAAAGGGAGCGAGAGAGCACACTAGGCCTTCAAGCACTATTCTCATGCTCCACATGAAGAGCTCTCATTCCAGACTCCAGTGTCACATGCTACATGTCCATGGTAACAAAACTTATATAAAAATAAGCACAGTGCATATTAAATTCACATGACACTTTATAGAACTCATGAGACAAGTAAGAGCCAGCTTAACCCTTTATACAATCCCACTTTTGCCTTTACCCAACCTCAGGACCATTTTACATGTTTTGGGAAGAAACTGGGGAATCCAGATGCAGTCCTGACTTGGGGCAGAGAAGAAAGAGTTCTGAGGAGCTATGCCTGCTCATTAGCAGGAGAGCAAAAGTAAGAAATCAAGTCTAACTAACTCAGCTCTCTGCTCCGGAACACCCAGGCTCTGCAGAGCACGCTCGGCTACAGGGAGAGTCCGCAGTTCTGGGTTACTCGGCTTCCGAGCAACAGTCCCTGGGAGAACTTAACAATGCTAACCTGAACACGGTGTCCATTTAATACAATTTCAGAACACAAAAGATTCCACTGCCTCCATTAACATTAATTACATCCATGTGCTTCAACACAAGAAGTCAGCTTCAATGTTCTTCATATGCAATACAAATTAACTCATTCAAAGCTCAGTTAGCTTGCAGGAAGATTATCCCTCAGCAGACACTTATGGGACAAGTGCTGAGGTATCTATATGTGGATGTCTTCTCTGACCAAATATATCCAACATTGCCTTTGAATGCTGCCCTAACGGGGGTCTTACCTTCTTAAATTGAGATCAAATAGGTCTAGAGCGGGGGTGTCAAATTGGCGGCCCCAAGGTAATTTTTTGTGGCCCACGATGCTCTGAAATAAAATGTAACGAGGGACTTGTGTGTACAGTATTGCCTTGATCTCCCCTAAGCGCTATTTTCTTCATAACATCTTTTTTCTGTTTTAATTTTATTTCAGAGCATCGTGGGACACAAAAAATTACCTCGGGGGCTGCCAGCCTGACACCCCTTGTCTAGAGTAACCTATTATATGATAGTTCTTAAAACTATACTTTTTTTATACAGACTATACAAAAAGTAATTCTATAAAATATAAAATAACAGTGGCTATCAAAAGCCTTTTCAGTCAAAATCAAACTTAAAATGAAAAAGTAAAATGAAATCATTTTCCTGAAAGATGTTTTTGGCCAAATTCGTCTAAATGTCAGGAATATTGTATAAACTATGTCTCCCTGTTAGTCAAAGGCCTCAACAAATTCATAAAAAGAAAGAAAGCATGCAATGACTTACAGTTAAACTAAAACTAAGAAAGTATAATTTGGGGGGAGGGCAGGGGATAGAATTTTAAATAATAAAATAGGATAAAGGAAAAAAAAATCTGAAAATAGAAAAAAAGTCATGCAATATAACTAACTTACCTAATTTTTGGAATGCTTACTTAAACCATCTTAAGTTAACTCTCTAGGAAATAGCCTCACGTATAAATTAATTATCCTTAAATACTAGTAATAGAACAGACTATAATCTAAATGACCTAAATGTTTAAGACGTGTTAAAATATAAGCCCATTGGCTTATACCAATTTCTCTAAGTGGGTGATACCCAATCCAATGCAAAAGCAGTTTATTGTACTTTATCCTGGATTAGGGGCTATAGTACCAAAGTCTTTAAGTGCCAGGGGCACACTGAGTAATTAATTGTCTTTTGAAAAGGGGCAGCAGGTCAAATACATTTAGGAACTTATGGTCTACACCAAGGGTCAAAAACCGTTTTTTATAGAGTCAGAAAGTAAACATATGAAAGCGTCCAAAAATTTGTGGGGAAATGGAATAAAAAAGATAATGGAAGTTTTCTACAAACTTTGTGAAACCCCCTTGCAATGGGTTTTCCGAGTTATGTAGTGTCTGTAAAATTTATTCAACTCTACCACTACAGGACAAAAACAACCACACTCACTGCCATCGAGTCGGTTCTGACTCACGGAGACCCAACCGGACAGAGTAGAAAATGGCCTGAGGCTTCCCGAGATGTTCATTCTCTATGGGAGGAGAAGGTTTCACCTTTCTCCCAGAGTAGCAGGTGGTTTTGAACTGCTCATCTTGTGGTTAGCAGCCCAATGGGTGACCCATACCAGTACAAAAAACAAAAAGCCCCACAATTTTTAAATGACGAAGTGTGGCTGAGTTTCAAAAAATTTATTTACAAAAACAGGCTGTGGATCATACTTTGCTGACCACTGAATCAGACCTTAGTATTCTGAAAGGCAAAGCACACCCAGTACCACTAGCATAGCTTTAACATTAAAAACTCTCTATCATTTAGCATTTGTAAAATGCTGGCTTTATAAAACATAATATAGATTTTCTAAGGTCAGTTCGGAATAAAAAATGTCATATTAGAACTCCAAGCTTAAGAATAGAAAATAAAAATAACCATTGAATTTACACAGTAAAAGCATAAAGATGCCAATCCAAATGAAAATGTCCTAGTGAGCGAATTCTTAGTGAAGCAACAATACTTTTAAATGTCTTATTTTAGAAGTCAGGTTTCTTTACAACTGCCTTTTATTAAATGTGAACACAACACAAAAGCTTTTAAAAGTATTATCGTTAGTGTATACATTAGACTTTTTAAAAAATTAACTCTACAAATCTAAAAGTAATCCATATACAACTGGATGCTATCACCTTGTCCACTCATATTTGTGTCCAGAAACTTTAAAATGGAAATGTCGCTTTAAAAATCTGCCTCAAGATATTTTCCCTGCTCAGATCTATTTATGGTAGCTGTGATTTAACAATTTGCTATGGGGAAGACATTAAATGTGAAAACAGAGATTCTAAATTCCAGATATAAATCAGTGAACTTGCTGACACTTTTATAAACATGCATGTACATGTTTGCTGCCTTCTTCACAAGCTGAAAAGCTTTCGTGGTTTTTCAGTTTTTAAAAGGATATTACAACATAAAACACTTGGCATGCTGGATATTCAGTTTCATAATCACTTTGGAAATAATCAAAACCTTTTTTACAGTTTCTATTGTTTTTAAACCAGATGTATTCCTCCACATAAGAAAACGTCTCCCTTTACAGTAGGCCAAAACTGTTACATTGTCTCTATCATTAAAATATTAACGATTTAAATATTCAGATTTCAAAACTTACCGAAAAGGTCCTGTTCTCTTAGCAGATCGAGAATCCCCCCACATCTCTTTCTAAATCAAGAAGGCTCCAATAAATAGGTGTTTTTTCAACCAAACTCGGGCTCTAGCAGAACCTGTATAAAACCAAACACAAAATTCACTGCATTAGAATAGGAGGGAGTGGCTTAACCTAGTTCCCTTCTATGTGGCTTATTTGGGACAACATCAGCAAGGATACTTTTGGAGGTTGCTTTTAAGCAGTTGAAATTTGTAACAAGAAAAATGTATGTAGTGAATGATGGGGGGAGTGCGGAGTGGAGACCCAAAGCCCATGAGTAGGCCACTGGAGATCCCCTTGCAGAGGGTTCTTACAGAGGGGTCTCGGGGAGGAGACGAGCCAGTCAGGGGGCGATGTAGCAACGATGAAAAATACAACTTTCCTCTGGTTCCTAAATGTATCCTCCCGACTCCCACTATCATGACACGAATTCGACCTTGCAAGTCTGGCTAGACCAGAGGATGTACATTGGTACAGATAGGAACTGGAAATCCAGGGAATC